GTGTGTGTGTGTGTGTGTGTGTGTGTGTGTGTGTGTGTGTGTGTGTGTGTGTGTGTGTGTGTGTGTGTGTGTGAGAGAGAGAGAGAGGGAGAGAGGCCACGCGGATCGATTTTGCCTTTGTGCAAAATGAGAATGAATCTTGCGCCCTCTCGGGGAAGATTCATTCTCATTTTGCAGTTGTGTCCACGTTGTGTGTGTGTGTGTGTGTGTGTGTGTGTGTGTGTGTGTGTGCGTGCACAAGAGAGAGAGGGCAGGGCAGAAAGATCCTCTCCCAGGGCCAGGGGAAAGGCCGAGAGTGTCAACAACAGCCACAGGGGCATGCTGGAAAGATTCTCGGTACCGATAGGGGCATATGGGAAATGTTGCTGCTGGTTCTCAACGGCTATCCGGTAGGGGCATACTGGAAATTGGGAGAGGTACCGGTAGGGGCACATGAAACATGTTTCAGGCCCAAACGACACCAGGGGTTTTATGGAAACATCATTCGTTGTCTCAGGAGCGCGACAGGGTAAGTTAGTCGTCAGAGGGGCATGCCGCAAATTAATCAAAATTTCAGGGGCATCTTGAAAAATTTCCCAAACAAAAAACAAAAGAGAAAAAATCAAATAAAAAAAACGACGTTTCAAGGGAGGCAGAGTGATTGGCCACTCAGATGATGCTCGGTCCCTCTGCTACCAGTTGTCCCCTGGCCAGTGTCCCCCATTGGGGGTTCCCTGAAGGCAATTAAGGCCACCCTGGGCTGAAAAGGCCACCCGATGTCAGATTAGACACAATATTGAATTTACCTGGGCTGGTTAGTCCGATGATAATACCTCAAGGCCATCGCCCTTTAAAAAAAAAAAGAAAAAAAAAAAGTGACAATTTATTTGTGGCATGCCCCTCTGACGGCCGACTTACCCTGTCGCGCCCATCTGAACACGACCGAAGTTCCTTAAAACCCCTGGCATCATTTGGGCCTAAAATATGTTCAATATGCCCCTAATGGTACGGTTCTCAAATTTCCAGTATACCCCGGTAGCTACTCTCCCAGGGCCAGGGGAACGGGAGCGAGTGCCACCAAACGGCCACAGGGGCATGCTAGAATGTTGCGCACCTCGCTAACAAGGGCCTGCAGAAAAGTGCAGAGGCCACAAGGGCATGACAGGGTAAGTCGGTTCTCCGAGGGGCGCGCCGCAAATAACTTGAAATCGAACTTTCAGAGGCATATAAAAACTTTTCCCGGAAAGAAATGAAAGAAACAACGGAAAAACAACAGAAATGATGGAACAAGGAAAAGAAAAAGAGAGAGAGAGAGAGAGATTTAGCGCACGTTCTGAGAGTGCAAAATGGGAATGAATCTTCCGGCGAAAGCATTCCTGTTTTTTCGGCGGAAGATTCATTCTCATTTTACACTCTCAGAACGTGCACCACATCTCTCTCTCTCTCTCTCTCTCTCTCTCTCTCTCTCTCTCTCTCTCTCTCTCTCTCTCTGGGGTGTGTTTCCAGAGTGCAATACGGGAATGAATCTTCTCGCTTTCGCGAAAATATGTATTCCTTTTCTCAGTACACATACTTTTGAACACTCTCTCTCTCTCTCTCTCTCTCTCTCTCTCTCTCTCTCTCTCTCTCTCTCTCTCTC